GGAAGGGAGGTAAGAGCTTGCCGGGAAACACTCTTGTGACTCGAGAGGTACTGTGAAGACATGAGCGAACTAGCAGCAGAGATGCGATTCTGCTGAGATTACACCATTGAGCAGATATCTGAACAGCTGATAGGGTTGCGGTCATTGTACCGGTTATTCAAGCATTTCATTATGGCCAGACAATCTCTGACTTGCAGAGTACGAGAGCTAGCTGAAGGTGCTTATGGGATGTTGCAACCGCGCGAGCAGCGTGACATAGGATGCTACGTTTCGGTAAGTTGTTCGTGTTGGAGTATTCTGGCATAGTGAATCCAGTTGACTGTTTTGATGAGACTCGAAGAGTTATAGCACGAAGGTACCTGTTGGTAGTGTGGATAGTGATTTCCTCGTGATTCGGAGTTGGCTCTGGATGACAAGATACAATGGAGAAGAGTTGTTTCGAGTTTTCGCACTGTCCATGAATGGATTTTCGTTCGGAGAGCGTTGTATCATTCACTTTTGTGTTGTTTGGTTTTGAGTTGTGTTTTTTTGTTTGGAGGTCCAAGCTATCAGGATAGTTGTGATTGCATTTGTGTTCGATGTTCCTGTATAGCTGAGTTTCTACGTGTTGTGGCGAATGCATATAGTGCGGAGATAGGTTCCTTGTGTCATTTCGCGCAAGATGTTGTATAGTGTCCTACATGATTCAGCGGGTTTTGGAAACTCCTTGTGCATATGTTGTTGAGATCGAGGCTTACTTGATTCTGGTGTGGTGCTATCGTGGTTATGTCGAGGTTAGAAGTTCAGACATAGTCCGCATAGTTTCAATTACAGATGGCCATGGATACGAGGTGGTCAGCTAAGGCGTGAACTCAAATGCAGCAGGACTGTGCTCTAGTTGGAAGCATTTGATTTCGTTCGCTTCGGAATACAACTTGAGCGTACATTGGACGCAGAATGTTCAACTGTGCGGAGGACCCTCGACAGACATGCCATCCGAACTTACAGGAGACAATGGAGCTATGGGTTTGAGTTTGCGTAATGAAGGTCGCTGGCCATCTATCGCGAAAAGCAGGGAAAAGGGTTGTAGAAAGGTATTTTCGTATACGGACGAGCGATCGGATCGCAGTCACGGTTCGTGATGGAGTGTGACTCAAATCAGTGATGTTATTCGATCATCATCAGATGGCCAGGTGTACGAGGAACGAGGAAAATGGTCGTCTAGATGATGAACTACAAAGGTTAGGAATTAGGTCGAAGAGACGAATGCAAGGAGCGATGGGACGGAGCAAATGAATGACGGATGAAGGTCCATAGGTTTAGTAAAGTGGGAAAGCCCTCCAGGGCCAACCATGCACTTCAGGAAGATAGATCGACGAGATCTATCTGCAAATGAAACTGCGAGAAACAGAGGATCGAAAGATCCTGGTATATGTATGCATATCAGAGCTCAGTTGTAGAGCTCACAATCTGAACGAGAGAGAAAGAGAAAACGAAACGAATAGCCAGTCTACTAGACAGTAGAGCTGGAAGGATATTGATTAAATTAGAGAAATTGTGCGTTCAAGTTCACACCTTTTCAACAACTGTAGAGCAGACACTTCAGCAAAAGGGTTAGAGTTGCTTCATTCTGTGAATCGTGGGAACGATTTCCCATCAAAGATCTTTGGATCTTCGCGGCTCCGACACGAGACACGATACGAGACAGAACATCAAAAGGCAGCCCACCATCACCTCCTTCATGGCAACACCAACCCAAGGTCTAAAAGAGAAGAACACACAAAAAACAACAGAACAACTACAACAACACTCCAGTTTAATCAATAGAATATGTACATTCCATCCACGAAAGCCCCTCTATTTCTCATGGCCTCGATAGCCAGACATCCTTCGTCGATGCTTGCCGCCCCTTCCACGAAACTCATGATGTCTACTAGAGCCGCTACTCAACCACAAACGACAGTTTTCCCATTCTGGCTTCGTCTCAAGGGTATGGCCCAGTTTGAGGATCGACAACGTGTCACTTCCGAGGTCGCCGACAGCATTTCGGCTTCGGGGGGATTTCTATCACGCGCCAACATACTCTCAGATATGGTCACCGTCATGACCATGGAAGATGCCGAGCCAGACAGAATTGGAAGATTCCAGCAACGGATGGGAGATGTGGAAGGATTTCGGCTGGACGACGAGTCCACAGCATTGTTGGAAAACTGCCAAATGCTTCTAAAAGAGAATGAAGATATCAAGATCCCACCGTCCGTCTTTGCCAATCTCCAAATATCATGGTTGAATGCCCCAGGAAACCTGCGACAAGATATTGTCGCTGATGGGTAGATGCGGAAATCGTGGGTTTTGGAAGTTTGATACAGTAATTCGCTTTGAGCAGTTACTATAATGAACAAAAGTTCGAAATGAAACACTTTTTGCTGCAGCAGAGACAGTCCTGGTAGCAGGCAGCAGGCAACGAAGACTGCGACTACTGCAATGGATATGGAGGTGCAAACCATTAACACAAGTAGAGCATCTATCTGTATTCAACAGATCATTGAACTGTTACTCTAGCTGACTCAATCCGCCGTTTTTAATATTGGCACAACCCTCAACCGCACAATCCTTGATGAAATGTACAAGGCACTGTCCACACCGTTTCATTTCTCACCGATCGTGGATCAAAGCTGGGCAAGGAATTGGATTGTTTCATTGCATTCTTTCATTGCTGCTCAATAAGGGGCAATCACAACCACAAAGCTTGCGCCGCCTTTGAATGGAACATCATTGTGAAAGAAGCGAGTAGCACGTGCCACGGGAGTGAGGACGAGTAACAAAGGGTTAGAGCTGCTTCAATTGGTGATCGACAAATAAATGCATAACGTTAGTTGAGATCATAAACTAGTAAATTTCCTGGTCCCTTTCTCCCTGTGTTCCAGTACCGGAACATGCTGCTGGTCAAGCCAACATCATAAGCCAATCCAATCCAAGGAGCCCGCGCTGTTTGTGGTATAAATCGAATCTTTCTGAACCATCGCCCCTCTCCTGGTGCTGTGTATTGTCATTCTGTTTCTTCACAGACCTCCCATCCACAAAGGTAGCAATGAAATTCCCGCATCGTTGGCACACAGTAAGATCAATACAGCGCTCACAGGTGCCACAGAAACTCGCACGACAAGCGCAACTGAAACAGTGTGGTTCACAAGCCCACTCTCCGCAATCTTCGCAGTATCCAAGCTCAATGCGACCTTTTAAAAACATTTGTATGCAGGCCCACTTGCCACATCCAGGCTTGTCACATGTCATCATCCAGTCCTGGTGGACAAATTCCTCACAAAAAGGGCAACGATCATGATCATGGTCAAGATGGACACAGCCTTCGCACTCGATCTTTTTCTGCTTTTTCTTGGTATGATTGCCAGCATCATCATGCCGTCGTCATTGCTGTCTTCTTCTTTTCTCCAGCAGGAATTCTTTCGAAGCTCTTCACGAAGAGCCTTTTGGCACTCCAGCTTGCTTCCATGTTTTGACAGTAGTAGTTTGTCAATTGAAACTGATTCTCAACCTGAGATACTGCCATGCATCTCAAAACAGATGCACGGTCCAAAAAGCTGACCAGTTCTTCCGCCATCAAGGAGGTTGTCAGACCAGAAGTAAGAAGATCACTCGCTCCAGTTCCAGATCCAGATCCAAATCCAGATGCGGTAGGAGCGTCGCTTCCAGTGCTGTTGTTGTTGATGCTGCTGCCGTTGCTGCCGTTCTTGGACTCCATGGCTGCCAAAGAGGGGTTGTTACTGTGGACGTGGAGCTATGTGGGAATGTTTTGAGGCATGCATAAATGCGCGCCAAAACTCCTTGACCGTACCGGTACCGGTCGCGTTACTACCAGCAGGCAGCAGGGGCGCCACACAGACGTCAAAATGTGAGCGTTTTTGACGGTTATTTTTCGGTTTTCGGAAATGGGAACCCGGAAGTGGTCATTTCACCGAATTCGTGAAATGACTGGTCGGTTCACCGCCAACCAAGAATAACAAAGAACAAAGAAAAGATCAATTTTAACACCATGGCAACAGTGTTGGCCAAATGGTCTCTAGCTTATCCATTACATTGAAATAGCTAATGCTTTCAGAGAAGCAGCTCCCCAACACACTCACAGACACTCCCCTTGAAAAGCATTAGCTATCTCCAAGGCTTGTCATGGAGCTCAGCAGAGAATTCCTGGCTGGATTGGTGGTTGATCTCCTTGATGCCGACAAGGTAGACAATGTCTCTCCCTTCAAGGACTGTTGGTTGACCATTGATGCCCTCAAAGCAGTCATCTGTAAGAGATACAATGTAGAACCAGAGGATGTGGCTACAGGGGAATTGTCAAAGGCAATGGAGGAGTACAAGACTGGCAAATTCAAAATAAGCAGCAAGAACAACAAACCTGTTCAATGCCACAAGCAATCCACATGGAAGCAGTACACCACCAATGATGGATTTCTGTCAACAAAGAAGAAGAGATGGTTGGTTTTCCTCTCAAGATCCAAGAAAACTCCTGATATTCCAGGAAACAAAGAGAAACAGTTATGGCAGGACTTACTCTTGAAATGCCATGAAATTGAGTTTGGCTCTCATGCTGACTTCATTGCCATGAAATCTTATACAGAGAGATCTAGATCAACAAGACAGAGATCTCCTAGCCTTGGAAGGATGGATGACAAAATCGACTCTTTGAGGCAGCAACCGAGGGAAACTCTCAATAACCAAAAAGGAAAGCCTATCAATAACACAACAACGGGGAATTTAGGGGGAACAACCGTTGTAGACGAGTCGAACACAGACTTACCGCAATCAAACGACGATGGACGTAAGAGGCAGCCATCAGAGACGGCACAAACTCCGCAACGACAATCGAAAAGGCAGAACAAGGAAGAGACACCGCTAGCGCACCACCCTCGTACTCGTACCGACAGCCATCGTCCTGGTAGCCCAAAGCCGAAACCAAATCCCGTACCATTTGAGCCCACAGCCGTAAACGGTGGTACTGCGGTTCGCCGTAGTCCCCGTGCTGCGGTTCGCCGTCGCCGTTCATCGCGGGAGTATCTACAAGCGTTGGTTGGACACGTTGATTTAGAAAAGGACGAGCTCGGCGCTGACGACTCTCCTACCAAAGAGAACGTCTCGCAGCTTGAAGATACCGTCTCGCAGCTTGAAGATGCCGTCTCCCAGCTCGACAATGACGAATCAGCAGCCCAAGACGAATCCATAGCCACAGATGACGACTCCGTACCCAAAACAATTTCTGGTCCGTCAGCAGCCAAAGATGACGACTCGTTTCTTGAGAATGCTTCGCTCTGTCGCAGTGAGGTTCCTTCCATCGCCTCCTTTGCCTCGCGGAAGCCACAGCCGGAAGAACCAAAGTTTGATCCGAAGAGGCTCGAGTACGAAAGGTTTCGTCTTGTCTTCAAACCTTCACCGAAACAAACGGTCAAAGATTGCTTGGAAGAGCGTGTTGCGAAGCTTCGAGCTGCCCTTGACGACTGGAGAGAGATGCCGTCGATCCTCGTAGGTACGGACCAGGAATTCGAAGAACTCTCCGTCAGCGCAAGACAATCCATCACGAACAAGGCAATCTTCGTCTGCCGAGCATACGAAGTGGCTCTCGACAGAATTCCCCGGTACTGGTGGTCTTGGGAAAGATGCGTTGAACAAGCTGTCGCAGATTGCCGAACTGGTGGAAATCGTGCATACAATCATTTTAGAGTGGTGTACGACGCGCAACGGATCTTCATGCGTTACGAGGGCTTCATGCCTCCACGAAGAACAAACGGCAAAGGAAGCGTTGAGTTTTTCAGTGTGTTCCCAGAAGCTCACATCATGCTGTATCGTCATTGCAAGAAGAACTTGGAAAGACTTACCTGCGAGTTTGCCCAGCGGTACCTGATTGAAACTGTAGTCCCTCACTGCATGGAGAAGTGTAATGTCGAGCTTGCTCTCTCAGGAATCAAGCCACTCAATAAGGAGCAATTCCTGGCCATGGTTCGGCTCAAGTCCATCGCTGTCTCCACTGCATGGCGTTGGTTGCGGCTCCTGGGATTCGAGTACCGTGAGAACACCAAGACGTATTACACCGACGGTCATGAGCGTCCTGACAATGTGGCCTACCACAAGAAGTTCATCAAACGGTACTTGGAACTTGAAGATCGCTGTTATCGCTGGGCGCAGGTGCCCGAAACTGCTGCCGAGGAGCTGGAAGCGGAAGGATTCCTGTCGGACGACTCAACACACTATGAGACATATGAGATCGGAGAAGACGAAAACAAAGTTCAGATGCGCCAATACCACATTGACTCCAACCATGAAAAGCTCCTGCAATTCGTACCTGAGGAGCAGCGCAAGTTTGGCGGAGGACTCAAACGCGACTTTGACTCCACAAATCAGCGTCCAGTCATCGTCATTGGACAGGACGAGTCTGTATTCATGCAGTTCATCGTTTCGAAGAAAGCTTGGAGCGTTGACGGTGAGCAAATTCTCCGCAAGAAGAACGATGGCCAAGGTCTTCACGTCAGTGCCTTCGTCTCGGATGCCTTTGGAATGGATCCAGATATTTCGGAGTGGCTTGAAGATATCAATGAGCGGCGCAAAGATTCCCAATACGTTTCCGAAGATGCCGCCAAAGTTGAGCTGGGAGACTCTTACAAGCTGCCGATTACCAAGGAGGCAGCGGACGAAATGTGCAAATCCCCGTTCATGCGCTGTATCCAAATCGGCCAAGGACACGACGGCTACTGGAATGGCAACCGCATGAAGATTCAATTCGAAGATGCCGTTGACAGTGTCAAGGAGATGTTCCCAGGCCATGATTTCGTCTTCCTGTTCGACCAAAGCAGCGGCCATACAAAGAAGATTGACGGAGGCTTGGACGTCAACTGCATGATGAAAAATCATGGGAGCAAGACACACATGCGGGAAACCACACTTGGCGAGGGATGCATTGGATCGTTCGGTCCATCGCTGTATCAAGTGGGAGACGAACAAAAGCTCATGTGGGAATCCGACGAGACCAAGTTGAATCCAGGCGACGGTCCTTGGTCTTTGACTCCCGAAGAACGGCTGGCCCAGCGGTTTGACGTCCTCCATGAAGACGAGATCAAACCCAAGACTGCCGCACAACTTCGCAAGGAAATCGCAGCTCACCGAAACGTCGATTCAAAGACACTTGATAAGGGAAAGGGCTGCTTGAAGAAACTCCGTGCCGAAGCGGAAAAGGATGGCATTTCATTGAACACCGTCGTCAAATCCACCAAGAGCGTCCCAAAGACCGTCAAAGAAATGAGGGCAGAATACCAAGCCGCCGGTAAAGAGTTGCCGCAAGGAAATCTCAGTAAGAGCGCTTTGCAAGAGCGCCTAGCAGAGGCGGGACTTGACATTTACAAGGAAGAGCCCCGCATCAAGACTTATGGTTGGGTTGGTCGGGCAAAGGGGCTCAGTCAGGTCCTCTGGGAAACAGGATGGATCAACGAAGAGGAATATGCCGACAACAAGTACCACAAGGATCCCGCAAAAGCCGACTTGGATGAAGATGGCAACATCAAGGAAGGACATGAACGGTGGATCTTGTCACGGCTCATGGCGAATCGTCCTGACTTTGCCAGCGAAATGACGGATCTGGAGTTCCTTGCGCAAAAGCTCTCGGACGCAAACTGCAATGTCACCGTCATCTTCACGCCAAAGTACCATCCAAACATTGCCGGCGAAGGAGTCGAAGATAGTTGGGGCTTCGCTAAAAGATACATTCGTCGTATGCCAATGGATCGTCGGATCAACTTCAAGAGTTTCATCGCGGTCGCCAATGAGGCTCTGCGAATGAATGATGCTGCAAGAACCATGCGCTTCCGCCGCAAGTGCAGGAAGTACATGCTTGGATACCAGTCGATCAACAACGAGGTCATGCACGTGCCCGAAGAAGGAAGCACAATGTCCTTCAAGGATCAGCTTGACAAATTCGCCAAGGAGTATTACAAGCCCACTGCAGCACAGATCAAAGAACACAGCTTGAAGATTACCAAGCGCAAGCGTCGAAAGAAAACAGATGGTCCCAGTGTCACTCGCCGCAACTTCAAGACAACAGCAGATATGGACATCAAGGAAGCTTATATCTTTGGCTTTGATCGGATCAGGAAATCAGAGTTGCAGAAGCAACAACTGACAGTTGAGGAGCGCTTGGAGATATCTAGAAAGGATGTAGTAGACATGTCTTCCATTCTCAAGAGTAAGGCTGCTCACAGATCCAACTTGGACACCGGCTTGGGCTCCATTGAAAATGAGTTGGAGATCTGTCTGGCCAAAAGGTTTGTTGTGGAAGATGGGGAAGTTGTGGATGTGGAGACTGCTGACACAGAAGATAACACTCCTTTCTTTGAATGGGATGAAGGAGGAGAAGAATAGATAATACATAGTAGTAGCCAGTCAATATGGCAGTCTTCTTGTCGCGTCGTTCGTTCGCTCGCTCGCTCCGTGGAAGAGTCAGTGGAAGAGCCAGTCATCAGTCATCCGTCGAACGAAGATCCGTCGAACGGAAGAAGCTTGTTGCCGTTTCCAGTGCCATTGTCGAGGCGTCGCTTGTTGTTGTCGGTCGCTCCGTGGAAGAGGATGCGTCATGGTCGCTCCGTGAAAGAGGCTTCGTGGAAGAGGCTTCGTGGAAATCCCGTTACCAATTTGAGCCCACAGTCCGTAAAACGGTGGTACGCGGTTCGCCGTAGTCCCCGTGCTGCGGTTCGCCGTCGC